CCAGTTTTATAACAATGTTTGAGCTATCTTTTTAAGTTCTAAAATTTGTATCAATGAAAAATATGATGATAGCTAACACTTATTGAGCATATGTGTGCCTAGCAATCATATTTGTGTTTTTCAGATATTATAACATTAGTCTTCACAATCAAACTACAAAGTAGACATCATTATCCTTTCTATTTCACAGAAGAGAAACCTGAAAAGACTAGCAACGGTGAAGCTAGCATTCTAAAACGGGCCACCCGTATGACCTCTACCTTGCACTGGGGTATGTTTATGTTCCCACTTTTTGGCAATGTAAGTTTTCTTCTTTCAGTAGTGCAAAGATTGCGCTAATGCACAGTCCCTGCATTGTTCCATTCATTTATCATTTTCAATGATTGATGAATCACTTTCAACAGCTACCAACACTTCCATCAGTCTACCAAGTAAATGCAAAGGGTGCTTTATCTTCCCGATATATAACCTCCATCTAGTGGTAAATATGTAATAATGACGAGTTACACAGTAATGAAAGTTATCCATGTCCTTCTTTAAAAAGATCTGGATAGACAAGTCCTACTGAGGAAATTAAAATCTTAGATATAAACAGAACCAATTCCACTGTAAACAATAGATAGAAATAATCGGTTATGTGTCTAGTATTATTTTGAGGAAATGCAGTGTTTTGAAGACTTGCACATTTTTAAATGTCTTCTGTTTGTATAGTCTGCATTATATTTGTATAAAACTTACAGGATTTCCACATTCATTTTTTGAGTTACAAATATGTAAGATGGTGTTAGTGTTGCAACAAAAAGTAGTCATTATTATTAAGGGGAAAAAAAAGAAAATATGTAGTCAACATTTAAAGAGAGTAAACACCAACTGGAGAAGTAATTAAGCTTCCATAGACAGATATTAGCTTGGACTCTTGCTCCTGTTTTGACTTTGGGGATTATCTACATTTTTACCTGTTTGGTTTTATGTTCCCCTCTTGAGCTATTTCCTGTAAGCACCATTCTGCTTTTCACTCATTAAGCTTCATGATATCTAGGTTTGACATTCACCTGGTAGATCTTATTAATAGTTTTTAGCTGTTCCAAAATCTATTCCCCTAATCAATTCCAACACATGGAACCTAACAATGTATGCAAACATATGTGTATTGACAGGTATAGTTGCTAGATTTATGCCACTTTTTAAAGTAAGCTTCAATATCTATTAGTATAATTTATTATATGATGTCCTCATAGTCAGTTCATTTATGTATTTCATGTTTTCCAAGTACAAATCTTACTTGGTCATTGTATATTGCTCTTTTTAAACATACAGCTGAATTTCATTTTCTGTATCATTTTTTAAAGTTTTGCATTCATAATAGTGAAATGGGTCTCGGGTTACCATGTGAGTACTATATCTGTTAGGTTTAAAATTATGCTTATGCTCTATTTTTAAAACCAGTAATGAATTTCTCTTTTATTTTTTTCTGTCCTTGGGCTAGATAATGAACCTAAAAATTACCTGTTTTATTCTAACACTCTTTTTTATTTTTTTTTTTTTGTTTGTTTGTTTTGGTAAGTTTCTAAAATCTCACTCATAAAACTGCTAAAGATGGGCATGCAAGGTAAAACTTTAAAACTCAGTTTCTTCAACTGTTTTTAATCTAGTCCAGGTTTTTCTTCCATCTTGATTTAGTATTGATAATGTTTACTTTCATAGAGATTTATTATTTCCTAAAAAATTGAAGTGCATATATATTCTAGTTTCTGTATATCCAGTACTAACTCCTTCCAAGCTGCTATTTATATTAATGTTTCCTCACTTATTAACATATTTTCAGCAGTTTTCTGGGATATCTAATGTATTGTAGCTTCTTCACTATTTTTCCCCTTGAGGACAGAAAACTTCTGAAATTACATATATATGTGCATGTATATATGTCTATTATTTGTATGTATATGGATATTTAATTTATATATAACTGTTTATATATTATATATATAAGTTCAGAAGTTTTCATTGATATATAACATATACATAAATATATATCTATTCTAATTTATTAATTTCTAATTTTCATTGATTTTTCTTTTGCTTTTTGTATTTCATTGTTTTTTTCAATTTGAATTCATAATCCGCTTATTTTCTTTTTTTCTTATTTAATGATAAAGAATTTAAAGCTATGAATTTTACTCTGAATACAGCTTTGGATACATCTCATAAATTTGGTAAGTGTTGTAGTTGTAATGTTTACCAACTATGTAATGAAAGTTTATAGTTCCTCTTCGACTCAGTATTCATTTACATGTGTCTTAATAATTTGTGATTACTCTCATTAATGGTTATTAACTTCATTTCACCTTTTATCATTGAATCTTGGTCATAAATTATGGGTTGTATAATTTATACTATGAGGAATTTATGCTAGATTTTGGGTAAAGAATTTATTCCTTTTTGAAAATTAAACCATAAATGAACTAAAAAATTTATATTCTCTCCTTGTACAGAGGTAAATATATACTATTAATTATATTTACTATCATATTAATTCTCCTAATTCCACTATAATTTTGTTTACTTGACAGATTAAAAGTTGAAAGAGGTACCTTGAAGTCTTTCTGATTATTATATTTTTTTACTATCATCTTGTTTTATGATATTGTTTTATATATTTCGACATCATATTAGCTGGATTCTCAAGTGTCAGTTATCCCCTCAATTCATTTTTTTAACCTGTCACTCTTCTTTTGCCTGATATGAGTATTACTATGCCTGTTGTATTTATTATTAGGCACTTGAGATGTCGGCTATGATATGAGAAATAGGACAAAGAAGAATGATTGATGTCAGTCAAGGTGAACCACAATCATGTCAAAGATTAATTGACCTCCAAACAAAATGTGAATATGTCATCATTGCAGAAGAGACAGTGCTTGACAGTGTCAGCTACCATTGTAGTCAGGAATGCATCCAGCTGGAAGTTAGAGAAAACATTCAACTAGAAGCAACTGAAATTAAAAATAAAGGAAATGGGAAAAGCAAAGGAAAGAAAAAAAAGAAAAAGTTTATGTTTCTTGTGTGAAGTGTATAGGAGGAAAATAAAAGTTAGTATATACTGTGTCCACACTAGGGTTCCAAGAAAGCAGAATCAACCAGAGCCCAGAGCTGGACTCTGAAGACTATAATTGTATTCACTGAAGATTCAACTACAGATTAGAGTAAAATATTTAAGTCAAACTTATTTTAGGTTTGATTTTAAATTATAGACAAAGTATACCATCAGTTAGGAAATATATTTTCTTCAGTAATTAACTATCTTTTCTTACTGACCAAATTACATAAACCAAACCAAAAATCAAATATTACAAATTTAAATTCTAGGAAACATAAATTTCAACAACTTTAAATCCATCAACATTATCTGTAGGTACATATATATTTTTTCATATTTATATGCTATTTAGTGTTGGTTTGCATACAAGGATTATAAAATGTTTGTGGTCTGAGATGTAAACACTTTCAGAATGTGTCTCACCACAAACCAAAATAGACCTTGTTGTTGTTTTTAATAATCTTTTTTTTATTAATTCTACAAAAAGAACATTTGCTATTCAATATTTCTCATTTAAAAACACTTATGGTTATGTTTATTTTCTCCCCTTATATTCGTCTCATGCACTGAAAAAAAGCAAACAGTATAGCAGTATTTTACTACAATTCTGCCATAAGAAATTGCTAAATGTAAATTCATATTATAAGTGAATAATGATATATCTCACCTCATATTAATTTCAGTAATTGAATGGGAAAGAGGAAGATCTATTAAAAGGACCATTGCTGGTCAAACACTAATGAGAAAACCTCTGAGTCACTGGCTGTCATGGTAACAGGGCATTATCAAAATCTGATTAGTATGCCCAGTAGCTACATAAGCGATAGGCAATACTTCTAATTGTATTGTCGCTGCCTGCAACATGGGTTTTATGTTCCTAAGAGGTGAGAGGGTGGCAAGGCTCTGTTTAATTTACATACTGGATATGGAATACACTGCCTGTTCATAAATTAGGGTCAAACATCTAGTACTAAAGATAAATTATACTTTGGAAAGATATTCAGAAGTTAAAAACAAACTTAGTTTACTCTTGTCATTAACTTACAAATTTCTAAATTTAAGTAAAAATGTTCTATCTAATTTCATAGACATTCATAGCAAAGATAAAAGAAAAATTGATTTTAAAAAGGAGTTGAGTGAAAACATGAAAATAAATCATAAGAAATCTTCCCAAGAACAAAATTTCCAAATAGAATGGTTTAGAAAAGCACAAAGAACTATGGGTTACCAAAAGTAGTCAGGCCAGAGAGTTTTAGAAAGAAGCAGATCCAAGAAGAATGATGAACAGAAAACAAGATTGGCGGTAGGAAGAGGCCACAAGGAACTATGGACAGTTTTCTATCTGTGTCTTTAAGAATGTTCTCCCTTCTGTGTCCTTGGTCTTTTAGGTATAAATGAATTTAGGTTCAGTGAATTTCAAAAATTACAGGGCCCAGTGTTTTCAGTACTACTTTGTTCTTTTTAATACCTTGAGTGTCACTGAATTTTTAAAGAAATTGATCACTGCTCTCTGATTCTTTTCGGTACATAAATTAACTCTAAAAGGAAAACTCCAAAGATTAACAAAAGTAAATTCTAGCATGCATTATTGACTAGAAATCTCTGTGCCTTGTCAGGGCTTGTGAGCACAAGGAATGTTAATAATGCTTGTCCTGAGAAGCTTATTCCTCTGGTTAAATGCATAAGTATGTGGACTAAGTTTTACACGTACCAAATATCAAAAACAGTCAAAAGTCAATATAATGAAAACCAAGGGGGAATTTGTCTATACACTTCGAAATTCAGTGCAGGATGTGTTGTTGCAGAAAGAAAAACATCATCAAAGACAGCAGAGTGCGGAAACAGAGTAAACAAGCACGTTCCTAGAGAGATTAGGCTATTTCTAGGAGTCCTGTGCACTGACCTTGGATGGAAGCAGCAGTCTGAAAGCCAATCAGTGTGGCCAAATCCCGTGAGAAGCACGTTGCCTTTTGGAAGGCCCAACACCTTCCAGAGTCGGTCCTCGCCACAGGAGACTAGGATGTCTTTGTGGGGGTGCATGGAGACACTGCACAAGGAAAAAGAAAAAAGAGTTTTCAGGACGTGAATAAATGAAATGGCAGTGGTTATCCGATATTAGCAAGGCAGGATAGTTTTGAGAGTACTGGCCCCAAAAATAAGAGGAAGCAGGTTCTCTATCCCTGCTATAGCTCTAACACTAATAGCTTTCTGATCTCCATCAATCTAATCAGCTTCACTGGATCTCGGATTCCTCATTTGCAAGACAAAGTGGTTGGTTTAGGTGATTGTGCATAACTAATTCTGGTTTGAAAAGAGTAATTCTGGTTTTTCTTTAAGGGAAGAAAAATTATGCCAATGGCATGTTTATGTTGGGATATTTGGACCAGTGGTCATGGTTACTATAGAACATCAACATTCTTTTCAAACTATCATATGTCTTAAATCAGCCATTATCCAGGAAAAGATCATGAATCATAACCACATCATCATGGTTCTGTAATAAATACTATAAATGAAACATTAACTCCATGGCCCACTATCTACACAAAGTGAAGGAACTAAAATTCTATCCTAAAATACCACTTAAATTGGCTTCAGTCAATGCACGGTACACAAATTACAGTAATGAATTCAAGATTCAGAAGGCAATTCCCACTCCATACAGGCATAGAGGGAAATAAGAAAGAAGTATGTAAGATTAATGATTAACACATTAAGCACTATTATTTGAACTGGACTCTGATCACTGTGGCTATTTTAATACTGGAGCTTAACTATTTTAAAATCAAAGTATACAAGGTTAATGTCTGATATTTTATCTATGGTAATGCTTTAATCTTATTTATATAAAGTATCATCTATGCCTTACAATGTAATGGGAACAGATATGTCCAATGTTAAGCACCTATTAAAATTCCAACCTAAATATTAGTAACAAATTGTTCAATTTCAATTTGGCCATCTAAACTCAAAGACATAATACATTTACTTGCCTATGTAGTTCGGTAAGACATATGATGATTTAAAAAATAGCAATCACATGTTCATTTTTCCCTTAGTCTATTCTATAAATGGTCTCGTTCTTTTCTGCTGAAATATGGGTTTTAAGAAATACATTTCCCAAAGAAATCATGGCTCTAGTCCACACCAACATGGCTAACTAACTCCAGGCTTACATGAGAGCAAACCATATCTCGTTATTTATACCTTACATTAATATCATTAAACTCTAAAATTATCAACTGAAAAATTATTTTTAAATTAGACCTACACAGTTTTAGGAATTTACTGGCTTCAACATTAGCAGCATTCAGGTCAAAGCCATGTAACCACTATGGGCATGGCCTTCTTTCTAGTGAAACATTTTTTCATTTTTCTCCAGCATTTTGCTGCTCAAAATAAACACAGTGGAAGGGAAATTATTCATTTTGCAATTCATCATAATGTTGGTTTGTGACTTTCAGAAGGCCAATTTAAGTAAAGAATTTATTACTGCTCAAACTGGATAGAAGATACATTTATAGAACTTAATTAGAAGAAAAATATGATGAGAGGTAAAAAATGTCAGATTAAAATGAATTCTGTATTCAAATACACACAAGAAGGCAAACCGAATCCTTGAAGCTACTGAGTATGATGTATGTTGGCTCACAGCTTTCCTGGCAGACACACGCACACTTGACCAGATGATAAATTACCCTCTTTAAGTGAAGATAACTAAAATCATTGATGTTTTTACGAACTTTGAAAGATAAGTTTCCAAAATGACTTTTGTGAGAGGAGCTATTTGTAGAAGTTAAGGCAAAAATATAAATACAAACCCATTGATAGCTAATCAGTTTTGGAAGTACTTTTTTCTGACTCGTCTCATCCCCTCCACTTTGTGGCCTCCTCTGTGACGCCTTAAACAACTTTGACTCCCATTCCACATGGGCTGATCCTCCTAATCACACTCTGATTCCTTTGTCTATGTATTCCTTTTCTAACACTGGCATAGATACATACATGTACACACATGCCTGTGTGTGTATATACACACATATATACACATGTATACATATATACACATATATAAATATATACACATGTATACATATATACACATATATACATGCATATATACACACAGATATATATATATATATATATATATATATATATCTGTAAATGACTTTGTGGATAATTCTATACACATTTCAGCCAGGCATAAAATGCTCTTTAGCTGAATAGAAATATTTTCAGCATATATAGAAAGGAATTTAATGCTTTGATAATACATTAATAAATACATGATTTTGAATTATTCATGGAATAAGTGCATCAGCAAATAGTGGACATAGCGATAAAGAACCCCAGTGAGGAGTTCCAAATCTCAGTTCAAATCACCCCTGTGGGAGGGAAGCACAGTTTAAGGGCCATGGACCAGAAATATTTTCCCACATACAGAAACTGTTATTCTCAACTCCATAATGAGACATAATGTCATCATCATCATCATAATTAACTAATGGTAATGATACTTAACATTGAAAATTTAATGTGCCCCATACCTGGTACTAAATGCTTAGTTCTTACAAATGAAATGAAAGCTCAAAAGAGTCGGGGTTCATATCTGTGTTGTTTGCTGTATGCTCAACCCCAATAGTGGCTGGCACATAGTAGCTATTCAATAAATATTCATCAAATACATGACTTAGTGATTGATGTTGGTACTATCAGTATTGTTATTTTATGCCATAAATAGAGTTAGTAGAAATGCCATGTAAATTGCCCAAGCTTACCTTTGGTAGTGAATGGAAACCAACTTTGAACCCAGTATGACTTGGCTTTAAGACTCATAATTTTAGCTACTCCTACTTAGTATGAATATTCAATCATTTGTTATTTCTATGTGTACTAGAAACATCAATAATTCCTGTTACAGAGCTTGGATGTAACTATTATCATACCCAGTAAATGCTTAAGTCATTTAGTCATTATTAAACCCTGAGGTGAAGAACCAATTTAGGAATTGTCAGCTTATTGTATCAGAGCTCAGTACCACCAGACACAATAGTCTTAGAGGGGTTAGAAGACCCTGCTCTTTACAGTTAATATGCTCTGGTACTGCAGGAGAAACCAAGGGAGGAGAGCCTCTCCTACAATTTGTCTACATAAGTTTCTGTGCAGATGTACATGCTGCACTTAACAAGATCTTTAAGATCTTTATTTTCTTGTGCTAATATTACAAGTCCAGTATTACACATCAAGGTGTCTGAGGGCATTGACTTTTTTTTTTTTTTTTGAGACAGAGTCTCGCTCTGTTGCCCAGACTGGAGTACAGCGGTGCAATCTCAGCTCACTGCAACCTCCCCCTCCCAAGTTCAAGCAATTCTCCTGCCTTAGCCTCCTGAATAGCTGGGATTACAGGCACATGCCACCACATCCGGCTAACGTTTGTGTTTTTAGTAGAGACGGAATTTCACCATGTTTGTCAGGCTGGTCTCAAACTCCTGACCTCTTGATTCACCCACCTCGGCCAGCCAAAGTGCTGGAATTACCGGCATGAGTCACTGCGCCCGGCTGAGTTTTTATCTTTTATTTTCATAGAGGTCTCTAAAAATAAATGTAGAACAATACTTAATAATCATTGATTCCATAGGCTTTTAATTCATTAAAAATTTACTCAGTTATACTCAGGGCTCAACTTTGTTTACCTCTGAATCAGTCTTTTGAAGAAGCTGAAGAATAGGAGTACTAACTAATACTTTATAGGAGTCAGTTCCTCTTCCCAAAATTGCATACATAAATTCATTCAGTGGCTATAATACAGGCATACCTTGGAGATACTCCAGGTATCAGACAATCTTGGTTTCAGACAATCTCAATAAAGTGAATATCACAATAATGTAAGTCATACAAACTTTTTGGTTTCCTAGTACATATAAAAGTTATGTTTACCCTATACTATAGTGTATTAACTACATAATAGCATTATGTCTCAAATGACAATGAAAAAATACTTTATTGCTAAAAAATGATGATCATCTTAACATTCATCCAGTCATAAGCTTTCTGCTGGTGGAGGGTCTTGCCTTGATGTTGATGACTGCTGACCAATCAGAGTTGTGGTTCCTGAAGGCTAGATGGTTGTAGCAATTTCTGAAAATAAGACAACAATGAAGTTTGCCACATTGATGTACTTTTCATTTCAAAAAGGTTTCTCAGTAGCATGTGATACTGTTTGATAGCATTTTATCCACAGTGAAACTTCTTTCAAAATTGGAGTCAACCCTCTCAAACATCTTTATCAAATATGTTTATGAAATATTTTAAATCCTTCCTTGTTATTTCAACAGTGTTCACAGCATCATCACCAGGAGTAGATTCCATCCCAAGAAACTACTTTATTTGCTTATCAATAAGAAGCAACTCTTTATCCATTCAAGTTTTATCATAAAATTGCAGCAATTGAATCACATTTTCAGGATGCACTTCTAATTATGGTTATTTTTCTATATCTATCACATCTGATGTGACTTCCTCCACGGAAGTCTTGAACCTCTCAAAGTCATCCATGAGGGTTGGCATCAACTTCTTTCAAACTTCTGTTAATGTTTATATTTTGATCTCTTCCTATGAATCATGAAAGTCTCTTTCCAGAAGGTTTTCAGTTTACTTTGCCCAGATCCATCAGAGGAATCACTGTCTATGGCAGCTATAGCCTTACAAAATGTATTTTTTTAAAAATAAGAATTGAAAGTTGAAATTACTCATTGATCCCATGGGATGCAGAATTGATGTTCTGTCAGCAGGCATGAAAATAACATTTGTCTCCTTGTACATCTTCATCACAGTTCTTGAGTGACCAGGTGCATTTTCAATGAGAAGTAGTATTTTGTAAAGAATCATTTTTTTTTTTTGAACAGTAGGTCTCAAAGGTGGGCTTAAAATATTCATTAAACCATGCTGTAAACAAATGGGCTGTCATCTGGGTTTCGTTGTCACATGTGGAAAATAGATTTAGCATAATCTTAAAGGTCCTAGGATTTCCAAAATGGTCAATGA